GAGCTAAGGCCTCTAGACTCAGGATAACGAGGTGAGGGCAGCTAACACTTGCACAGCACGTACCATGTACCGGTCAAAGCACTTCCTAGACATCAACTCATTTAATCCCTATAACTAACCTACGAGGCAGGTACTACGGAGCATCCCCATTTTATAGATAAGTAAACTGAGGTACAGAGCTGTTAAGCACCTGGCCCCAAAATCACAGAATTGCCAACAGTAAAGCCGGGATTCACGCCTAAGCAGCCTGGCTTGAGTTTGTCCCCTTACCCACCATGCTGTGCGACCTCTCTAAGTGACACTCCAGAGGACATGAATTCACCTGTCTCTAGGGGCCAGGCTAGAAGTGTTCCTGAGTGACTCGGGGCGGGGCTAAAATGTGGGCCCACAATCATCAGATGGAATTCAAGAGAAGCCAGAAATCTGGATTTATGTTAAATTTGCCAATTTTGACGAGTTGGCAAACGCGTCATGTTTTTTGAAAGCACGTGCAGGCCAGTTAAAAGGTTCCTGTGGGCCACCTCCAGCCAGTGGAGCTGCCAGGTGGGGCCTTTCTCCTCTGCCTCCCAGGGAGATGGCTCCACTTGGCTGGTACAGTGAGACCCTGTCCCCAGATGACCCGGGTTTGCTCAGGCATCCGTGAGAAAAAGACGCCTTCAGAGAACCAGCCCGAGGCAGGCTCCTGTGAGCTCGGCCAACTGACCACTGGCGTCCTTCCTGGTTCCCTTGGTGCCTCGGGAGGACGGGGCACAATGCACGGCTCGCGAATTAATCAGACAGCAGCCACCGAGACTGAGCTCACTTGGCAGAAGAAACGCCAGCACCACGCGGCCCTGAGCTCCGCCGGGGACTCGCTCTCACCTCCTCAAAGTCGTCCAGCTCCTCCAGCCTGGTCCGGACCTTCTCCGACATGGCAGATGTGGCGGCCCCGGCTTTGCCTACACAAAACGGATTCATGTCACACAGGTGGCTTTCCTTGGTCACCAATACTCCCAAAGGAAGGCATCTGTCACTTTACACTTCATCATGAATATAGAGGCTAGGGACCAATTTCGATTTTTGAAAGCAACAGTCCTTCCGTAACCCAAGTCCCATTAGGAACCTTTCTGCTTAGAAAACTGCCCTGGGAGCTCGGGACGTCAGCCTCCAAAAGGTTCCACTATATTCGATATTTACAAACTTGTCACTGCATCATTTATTTATTCCTAAAGGCAGGCGGTCCAGATAAGGATGCCAAAAATCCGTCATTTAATTGTTCTCCGCAAACAAGAGGCCCTCTCAGGCTCACATTCAGTGTGTAATTGTTGTGCCCTTACACTAACCAGACAACAGTCTCCCTGTCTGAAGCCCGGACGTGGACACCAGGGCTTCAAAGCCCTCCCCTGGAGCAAACAGGACCGACGGGACCTCCCCCCATCATCCGTCAGCACCATTCTTGCCATCAGCAGGGACAGGAGGAGAACAGGGCTGCAGGCCATGGGTTGGCCACAGGACGAGGCTGTGTGTCCAGCTGGCGGCTGCTGGCCAGCGCCTCCTCCTTCCAAACCAACCCGTTCCCCATGTGAGACGGCTTCTGTCCCAGGTCCCTATGCTCCGGCCAAGCAAACTCACGTTTCAGGGACGCAAGTTGGCGCTTTTTAAGGCACTGGTTTCTTAGCTCTGGTGTGAACTCAGGTTTGTCTGGGATCAGCTGAGAGCATGGTACAATGATTTAATTACTAACAGCAACTAAAGTTAAGAAGCTTCCAAATCACTTTTTTTAACCTGTTTTTACTTTTGCTTCATCCTGATAGAACACATAATGTGCGCACGTGTACGTTTCAACAGACATCGTAAGATCTCTGTGACCAGCACAGAGTTCTTTCATTCACCATTAACTTTAAATCCTGAAATTTACCCCTGTGGTTGCACAGAGCTGTATGCAGCTCGCTCCTTCTCCTGCCGTTTAGTAATTCCCACTGTGTGTGTGACTACACCACGATTTTCCTACTTTACTGTTGATGGCTGTCTGGGTCGTCTCCTGTTTGGGGCTTCTCTGAACAGCACGTAGTAGCTGCTGTGAACATTTCTGTGCGTGTCTCCTGGACTGTGCACGCCTGCATGCCTCAGGGCGGTGCCTCAGGCTTCTACAGGAATCACTTAAGGCTATGTTCACATGCGGGTTCTGATTCTCAGTCGGCCTGGCAGGGCCTGAGACTCTGCATTTCTAACGAGCTCCCAGGTGATGCCAATGCTGCTCGTCCTTGGACCACACTTTAAGAAACACAAATCTGCACAGAGTTAGAAAAAGGCTTTCTGTAAAGGGCCAGGAATAAGTAGTTTAGGTTTTGTGAGTCATACAGTCTCTGTCACAACTACTCAACTCTGCCATGACAGCACAGGAGCGGCCAGAGACAATATGTCAACAAATCGACAAGGCTGTGTTCCAATAAAACTTTATTTACAAAATCAAACAGCGGGCTGGATTTGGCCTGTAGGATGTAGGTTGCCAATTTCTGATCTAGGGTATATCCTAGCAGTGGAATGGCTAGGTCAAAGGGTTGGCCCATCTTTAATCTTACTAGGTAATGCAAAAGTGCTTTGCATAGTGGGTGTCATGTTACACGCCCACCAGCGAGGTATGAGAGTTCCTGTTGCATTACGTTCTCACCAACTACTGGCACCATCAATCTTTCTGATTTTTCCAAACTGGTAGATATGCAATGCTATGGTTTACTTTTTTACTGTTTGGGGTCAAAGTGACACCCCAAAGGTGTGCACACGCTCTTGATTCTCAACCTGCAGAGAATGGGGGAGAGCTGCAGCTGCCACCCCAGCAACTTACACAAAAACCAAGGCCAAGCTCATCTGCACCCCGGCAGCATGTGGTCCGTCGGTCCCTTCAGAGTCACCTGAGAGCTTCAGAAAAGAAATCCCCGGGCCTCAGGCCTCAGGATTAATTCAACAAGTGGCATGGGGCTGGTGGCCTGTATTTGTAGGAAAGTTCCTCAGGCGACCCTGCTGTACAGCCAGTCTGAGACCCCTGGTCCAGAGCCTCTGACTGTCTTAGCAGAGGAAATTGAGAAGTGACATGTCAGGGACCAGTAAATGTGAGTGTGGGACTCCCCTCACCAAGGGATCCGCGTTTTCACAAGGGAGAGACTGCTGCCCTGTAATCCTAAACTCAAGCAGTGGGTTTCTCTTTTACTCCATGTCACCTCTGTGGTCTTTTTAAATTCATCATCTAAATGTGTATTTCAATTCTACTAAGTCTACATACAATCCAGGAAACAATAGCTTCGATTGAATTAAACATCAGGGTTAGAAACCACAACTGTTTTTTTTCCTTTGTGAAATTACATTAAAGGTTATGGGAGAATTCCCCATCGAAACAGTAACAACAAAACTCACCTTTTTCAGATCCCATAAACAGATTCTGCAGAGGCAAAAAAAAAAAAAAAAAAAAAAANGTTGCCATGGGCTACCGTGTGTAGCCAGCAGCCAGCGTGAGCGGCCAGCAGCCACAGTGAGCGGCCGTCCAGAAGCCGGCGACTGATCTGCCTCAACTGGGAAGAGTGCAATGATGGTGCCAACTTGAGCCAGTGAAGCAATGTCCTCCACAACTAGACTGAAGAACAAAAGGACAGCAACTTGTCTATGCCCCTTCCCCCAACCTCCCAGCACTGTTCCCATCCCCCAATTATCCAATAAAAATCTTTTAAAAAAAACCTCAAGTACCCAGGACAAGTACTTCCAGCCTCTCCTCACCCTCTCTCCAGAGCAACAGGTGAGCAAACAATTGTCACGCTTCCAGGACACTGAACTAGAATGGGAGTGTCCTTTGGAGCTAAAAGGGCTATTCAGAAATTCTTTGTTAAGCGCCACTCTGGAAAGTGCAATGCGCATATTATTCCTTTCACAGTGTGTTTCTCTGCGTGTTTTGCCAAGGCAGGGTGATCTTAGGGGTCAAGAAAACAGAAGAGGCTGTTTTCCTTCCAGAACTCGCTCTTGTGATCCAAGCGTTGTCACGGATCAACAAACTCACCAACAAAGAGGACTCAACAAATGTACCTAACAGTGTAATAAATGATGTTTTTTTTGGTCCCATAATTATGCAGAATACGACCCAAAAACGAATATACCAGGGACACACAACCACTAGTTCCAAAGATACAAAGGAAATCTGGTCAAGGAAACCCAGGCAGTTAGTCAATCAGTAGTCTGTACAAATCATAAATGTGTGAAGGGCTGCACCAGGAACAATGAACTACATGACGCAGGGGGCATCATTAAATGTATCATCTAGGGTGAATGCCCTAGAATTGTGCAGTGCACAACCTGTGCAGCTGCACATGATGGCCCTGAGATTAACCCTCTCATAAAAACACAGATTCATAGCATGGCCTTTCACGGGAAGTACATGAAGAAGGAAGTACATGAAAGAAGTAGGGTAAGATCCTGAAGGCAGGCCTCTGAAAACCCTAATTACCCACAAAGGAGTTTTTACACTGGAAATTCTGAAGGAAAGCAAAACTCACTAGACCTCACCTGGATGACTATTTTTAGAGCCTTCACTTTCTGGTCCGAGGCCCAAGCGTCCTTCAGTGACTGGTTGAGATCCTCGATGCGGTTCACATAGTCCTGTTGAGTCAAATTCAGCAGTTCCTTTTGGGAGCCCTGTGGGCAGAAAGTAGGAAGGTGTAGGCACAAACAGGAAAACACTGACCATCAACCCCTGAGTACTGGCTGAGCTTCGCTCTGTTTTCCTGCTATCCCGACCAGGATCGATAGTTTTGTCTTGTGACCAAAGGGGTTCTTTGAGTTTTCTGTGAAGGTGGGCTGAGTGGAGTGTAACGGAGAGACCGGCCTTGCAGGCAAGTCAGACCTAGGCCAGCCCCCAGGTCCGCCACATACTGCCGTGTGATGACGGGTGAGCCCTTTCCTCCCAGAGCCTCACCTATAAACAGGGATAACTCATAGTTATCAGGGCCCACCGTGGGCCAGGCCAGGTATACCAGATGCTCGAGACACAAAGGTGAGCAAAATGACATTATTTCTGCACTCGCGATGTTAAAGGTCCAGAGGATGAGATGGACATTAGCACCAGCTGAGGGAAACGCTCGGGGGGGACACAGCTCACGGAGCCTGAGGGGCCCGTCGTAAGCAGCACTGTTTCGTGTACCACTGAGGAAAAATGCTGACCATGGGCGAGTATGCAGCCCACGCATACTCAGAGATGCAGCCCAATTTCAAGGATATGCCCATGGACGGGGCAAGGGTCGTCTCAGAATGGAAGACATGTGGTAACAAAGGAATGGGCACTAGGCTGGTGGTCACGAATAAGATCTCCTGGAGGAAGTGATGCTTGGGACGAGCTCCCGGTGGTGTACGGGGGGTGAGCAGGCCATGGGGAGGGGCGGGGGTGTTGACTGGACCAGACAGAGAGCATTCGGGACAGCGAGCAGACCACAGCCAACCCCCACGGCAGAAGAGCGAGGCCAGCACGTGGGTGAGGTGACAACGTGTGAAAGCTCAGCACCGTCCCCCGTGTCAGACGAGCTCCTTCACCCCGGGCTGCTGCTAAGATGCTCTTTACACAGCTCATGGGGGCAAGGGCCACGCCAGCCCACACGGGGAGACCAGGAGCCACACCTCTTTTCTATGAAAGGCCCCAGGAATCCGAAGTGAAGACCTTTCTATCAAAGAAATATAAGGAGAAGGTTCAGGAAACGCGGACTGATCCCAACTGGTGATCTGAACTGTGAGGCAGTACAGGAGCCACATGACTAGTTTGGGCAAACGGGCTGTGAGCAGAGGGGCATGTGACCCTTCTTCTGGGCTGAGGCCGTGAAAAGTGACCCTTTCTTCACATCTGTGGTGAGAATCCTGCAAGCCCTCTTGTTGAGATGGCAGCATCACGAGATGGTGGTGTGTCTGTCACCTGCCCTGGATGAATAATGTCAGGAAGAAATAAACCTTTGTTCTAGGGCCAGCCAAGTGGCTCAGTTGGTTAAGAGCACGAACTCTGAGCAACAGGGTCACCGGTTCAATTCCCACATGGGCCAGTGAGCTGTGCCAGAGCTGAGCCTGAGCTGAGCTGCCGCTGAGCTGCCAACAGCTGGCTCAGCTGGTGAGAGCACGTGCTCCTAACAACAAGGTTGCTGGTTCAATTCCCGCATGGGATGGTGGGCTGCATACCCCGCAACTAAGATTGAACATGGCACCTTGAGCTGAGCAGCCACAAGCTGCCGATGGGTGGCCGGATGGCGAATGGACTTGGAGCTAAGCTAGCTGCGCCCTCTGCAACTAAGATTGAAGGACAACTTGGCTGTTCCCCTCCCCTAATTCCCCAATAAAACCTTAAAAAACAAAAACAAAATATCAAAAAACAAAACTTTGTTCTAGTAAGCCACTGAGGTCTGGGGGTTCGTTTGTTACCACAGCATAACCTAGCCTTATTCTGACTAACACGTTGTGTTAACTTGGAAGCCACGGGGCAGCCATCTCTGCTATGAGCAAGGAAACCAGTCTCAGGAAAAAGAAAAAAAAAAAATGGAGAACTAGAAAAAGAATCAGTGACGGAAGGCTACACAGAACCACAAGAGACAGAGGACAGCTGCCAAGTTTCTGGGTGGTTCTTCAGGTCCCGGCTCCAGGCCACTGTGTCCTGTATCCCTCAATCCAGTCTAGTCCCCACTGCCAACTTCAGTCAGCTCAAGAACTTTCAGAGACCCACAGACTAAAGTGCTTTGAGTAAAACCCTCAGCAATTCCCCTCCTGCCAGCCACGGTTGGCGGATGGTATACAGGCTGAGGCTCTCGAACAACTCTGGTCTCGGGGCTGGAAGGGCCCGGAACCAAGGGGCAAAATACAAGACAGAGCAATAAA